CAATTCAATCGGAAACATATCCCCTAACTTTGTGCAGTTTGCAGTTGTGCCACTGACATGTGGGTTGACGCCTATAGGCTCAAATGCATGGGTAGGATCTCACCTGCCTATTTACATGGTTGATTGTTTATTTACTTAGTTTGTGAATATCTCAGATTGAATATTTTAACCAACCGCAAAGTTCATGAAGCACACAATAATTTGGTGATACTTTAATCGATCATGTTCTTAGAAACAATATGCAAATCACAAAAAAAAATGCAAATAGCATAATGGAGAATTAGAGCATCCGATGGTAATGACTACCAATGCGGTATCAATGTACCTCCAGCTAATATCATGACAATTATATCCTTTTTCATCTCTTAAGAAAATTATCGTTTTACCCTTCCTACCTAAGTATTTATAGCAATACTTAAATACCCTTTAATTGTGGAGCATCGGATCTCTACTATCTATCTATCTATCTATCTATCTATCTATTATATTATTAAGACAGCTCGAAAAGGAGGCACCACGTTCGCTGTGGGGGCTAGAAATTCCGACATTAATTGGAGAAAAAGAAAAAAAGAAAAGGAGAGTCCAAGTAGAAGTATAATCTAAAAATAGCTGAAATTCGGAATTAAAAAAAGCAATATTGAAAGAAGTTTCCATATAAGAACCCAATACGAGATTAGTACAAATTTGAAATAAAAATAAAATAAAATCTAAAATTAGAAAAGAAAAGAGAGTCCAATTAGAAATACAATTTAAAAATAGCTGAAATTCGGAATTAAAAATAAGCAATATTAAAAGAAATTTCCATATAAGAACCCAATATGAGATTAATCAAAATTCGAAATAAAAATAAAATAAAATCTGAAATTAAAACATTAAAAGAACACAATACGGTATTAACTAATTTTTTTAAAAAAATTTCTGAAATTAGAAAAAGAAAATTAAGATTTCAATTAGGAATACAATTTATAAATAACTCAATTTTTTTGATAAAAATAAAGATTATTGAAAGAAAAGATCATCTAAAACACATGACGAGATAAGTTAAGTAACAGGCCTATAAAGGAGTAGAGTGGTGGCGGTTGATACGACATATAAAAATTGTTAATAAAACACAATTGCTGCGAAGGAGGGACGTCAGGCAGGCCGCGAAGCAAATGAGTAACGCGTTTGCCGGGACTTCTAGAAAGTAAAAAAAACAAACCCCATTGATAATCATATTCGATTTTTAAAATCTCAATGACAATAAAAAGGAGAAGCAGCGGGTGGGGTGTATAATAGTATAGTTGCAGAGCCGTCGACGGGACTTCTAGAAAATAAAAAATGAATTCCAACGATAGTTATGTTCGATTTTTAGAATCACGAGGATAATAAAGAGTAGGCGGCGGACGGGCATCGTTTGATGGGACTTCTCAAAATTATAAAAAATGAAACTACAAGTCCAATTTTTAAAGGTTCGGAACTTCTAAAAAGTAAAAAATACAATGATAATCATGTTTGATTCTAAAATCTCAATGACAATAAAGAAGGGAGGCAGCGGGCGAGCCGTAGAGGAGTACAATGGCAAAGTCGCTGACGGTTTGGTGGGACTTCTAGAAAGTAAAAATGAACCAAAACGATAAGATTTTTAAAATCTCAATGACAATAAAGAGATGAGATGGTTGATAGGTCGTAGAGGAGTATAATGGCAACGTTTGACGAGACATCTAGAAATTATAAAAATAAAACCCAACGTGACAATAAACTCTAAAAACTATAAAATCCAATTTTTAAAGATTCCAAGAAGTATGAATAGAAATAGTGGTAGATCGAGCAAGTAAATAAAGAAGGAGATGACATAAGGGGTAGTAATTGGTGTGACTTTTAAAAACTATATAATTAGAAATACGAGAATGATAAGATTTGGTCTTTTAATGTCTTAAGACAATAAGATAGCTATTTAACAAATTTTGAATAAATCATATTAAAAATAGATAATTTTGTATTGGTGCTAGCCGCGCAATTGCGCAGGCTACCCAGCTAGTTTTTTGAATGTAAACACCGTAAAACTTTTCGTTTGTATCTTTAGCTGTTTAGGATTCGGGAGGGGTTGACATATTCGTTTTGTCTTGCGTGCGGAGGGGAGAGGTTTCTAAAAGAAACACAGCCCTGTGTAGATGTTTGAGAGAAACCGTACATAATAAGAGTCCTAATGATCGATATTACACGAAAATTATATAGCGTTACCAAATACTACTGTTTGTGCACGTAAATGTTCTAATAGCAAACGCCGATGAGTTCTTCAACAGGCTACTCAGGAAGATGCATACGCGGATTATATATGGATCAACTTTCAATCGATCCACACCTTATTGCTTTCGGTTTTTGTCGTGGAACTGGCTGCATGGATCTCTATCCCTTTTAATATTTCTTTTCTTTGTCAGCTACCAGTATAGATTAATTATATATGTTTATTTTCTGTCATCAATCGTAGCGGTATTATCCATGCTGAATGTGCATGATGTCAAGCAAGTGCCATCCTCCCGGTGTTCGTAGGGACCGAAATGTTCTCCTGGAATTATTAAAGCTCAAACCCCGCAACTGTTTGCAAAAGGACAAACAGGGCCATACTACCAGTTGTTTCCTGATCGACTCCTGAGATGACAAGCTAGTACGAGTAGTAGTTGCTGCTGCTTTGCATTACTGTGGAGTTGACAGCACAACGTGCCTGACAAAACATGTGGAACGTACTTTGGACGATAAAGAGGTGCCATTGATGGGCTACGAGTTAATCCGTCGATCCTCTTTGCAGGACCGATGAAGTTGTCACGTATCCAACCATCCATCGCTATCGTGCAGCACATGGTCACATGGAAGCTATATGGCAGGCATATGTGTGACACCGTCTATAAGCTGGAGTAGCTAGCAACCTGTAGTAAAATCGATTTGCTGCCGTGCGCCGACCACGTACGAGAGCTTAGAAACACCGGCCACTCGCTCGCCGCGGAGCGATCGACGCGCGTGCACACGGCCCCAATCGCCGTAGCTGCGCAGGGGCTTTCTTCCCAATCTATGCCGCGTGCCGTAATACCGGTGTCACGTCTCAGGTCGCCGCACGTCGCGCCGCGCCGCGATGCGCGAACCGCAGGCCGCGATGGCGGCTAGCGAGCCCCGGCCGCGGGCCGCGGAAGCCACACAGCCACCGCGCACGCGATGCGGCAGAGGCCGGCGAATTGAACTCGCGGCGCCGCCCGCGGCCGGCAAGCTCGAGCTCCGCACATCTAGCGTGCGCGCGGAAATTAACCACGCGGGGCTGGGCCGCTGACGCTGTTCGTGACACGTCCGGCCGGCCACTGGCCTCGCTCCACGTGTTGCGACCGACCCATGCCCTCCGTGGGTAACCTGGAGCAGATTCAGTGCACTCCGTTTTATCTGTTCGTTTGCTCTGCATTTTGTTTATTTATTTGATTCGCAGAGACCAGTCCAAGTGTCCAACCAGCAGTTGCATGGCTGCACGTCCGTCCCGTCGCGTGGACTGCTCCTGTGGCTCCCGGCCGGGATATGATGCGAGCGTTGGTGGCGTTGCGTGCGTTGTGCAATGTGCTCCAACGTGCCTGTTCGTGTGCGTTTATTGTGCCTCGCGTGTATATATGGCTTTGAATCATACACCTCATATGGACGGATGCATCCGCTAATGGATGGATCATATGGATGCGGAAGGATATAGCGTTCTTCATGCTTCTGTAGTTTAGGCCCATGCTTGCTATAATGTCGTGAATGATTTCTTCATATACCACCTCCCGTTTCATATTAAATATAAGTCGCTCTGTTAAATTTAATTAAATTTACAAAAATATAATAGTATTTTTAACACAAAACAAACATAGTATCAAAATATATTCAATGTATATTTAATGAAACTAATGTGTTGTTTTAGTTTATATAATTGGTCAATAAAAAAATTTTGACTAGGAAAAATATCAAAACAATTTATAATATGAAATGGATAGGTATAGTCATACCAAAATTGTGAAAATTGCGATTTTAGGGATGCCCTAGTCAATGCCTACACATATGCTTTAGGTCGGCCCTGAAAAGCACACACTGCCTATTTGATTGAATAGATGGAAATAGTAATACTTGGAACAGCTTTATGCATCTTGTTGAGTTCAGATTGAAATATACTATCCAAAATGACCGGTACATGTTCCTTCAAAAATGGTACATTTAATAGCACGGGAAGATCACTCTTAGCTAAGATTTATACCATCCCATTTACCTTTTTGTAGGGATAACGACCGAAGGAGGTCATCTGGAATAGGGGAAAAAATTACAAGAAAATCTTTCATCGACAGCTGGCTATTGAGAAAGGATGTGCACCAAAAGTGCAAGCTCCAAAGCCGCACGCCAACCGCTCAAATACAAACTATAGAGAGAGGATCGAGCCAAGCACCGAACCGGCCGTTGCTACCTCCTACCGTTAATTGGCTCCATTCTTACCCTTTCCTTGCTCAGTTTCTCCATTATTCCCTTTGCCGTCATGGCTCAGATGCACATTGCACCACCAACCATTAGCTCAGCAATGTTAAGGTCTGGAATTAAACGTGCTGCAGACCGACTAGCTTGATCCCTCGGTGAACGGGTGAACTGTAAATTTGGATGGTAATAAAATTTACCGATGTTTTTGGATGATATATATTTCAAAACTCCGCATCTTTCGATGTCATGAACCCCAATTTCCCCCGTTTTGGACGTCGGTTCAAACCTTCAGAATCAGATAGACATATATACTCATGGATGTGAGACACAGGTTCTTGTTTGATGGTATATTTGCCCCCTAATTAAATGCATGCTTGTCCATTAGAGGTCCCTAAATGAGAAACATATTCAACTAGTCCTTAATCATGACAACAGTGACATCACAAGCTAATATGCGCTATCCGGTCCATTCCCCCCAAGACCACATCTACTAATATGCATGCATGGTACCACACACAGATCACCACATTTCATCAGTTCCTCTCTTTCCCATCCCATCGGTGTGCACTAATCCGAAATTTTACAGACCATCCCCCAGTCCCCCACACATGATGAGGCCATGAAAACCAGTCCCCTAGCTAACCCTAACCAAAGTACAATGGTTGTGGAGTAGCAATGATTTAGGCCAGGGGTTCCACTCAAAGGCCCAATAGGATAGATAAAAGGAAAATAAGAAAAGATGAATGTATCCACAATTCACATAGTCCCATCTCATTTCTATATATCCCCTGATCTTTCAATCTACTACATAAAGCCAACAAGTTGAGTACCAGCTGGTGGTAGAAAAAATATAGAGGAGAGGTCCTGAGGCATAGTAGTAGAGTGATCTCAGCTACTTGCTTGCTCGCACACGAGCTAGAAAGAACAAGAACCAATTCTGCATCCCTAAGCTAAGCTTAGCTAGTATCCTAAGGTGACACTATATGTATGTGGTATATATCTAGATATATTATATATATACACACAAAAGCGCGAACCATTCCCGCAGCAAAAAGACCCAAGGCCAGGTGAGCTCTCTCGCTCGCCCGCTCGCACGTGTAGCGGACAAACTCATCGCTCGGTTGAGTTCTTCTTCTTCTCCTCCTCCTCCTCGTGCGCGCTCTGCAAGCCTGCAACCCCATGAGCTAGCTAGCTCGGCGAAGCGGCCGGCGGCGAGAGAGGGGGAGAGTGCCGGTGGGGACGGAGGAGATCGGTCCGTACGTGCTGCCGGCCGGCGAGCCGACGTCGGGCATGGACACCATACGGTGCTGCATCGCGTGCATCCTGCCGTGCGGGGCGCTGGACGTGGTGCGCATCGTGCACTCCAACGGCCGCGTGGAGGAGATCAGCCGGCCGGTGCTCGCCGGCGAGATCATGAAGGCGTACCCCAAGCACGTCCTCCGGAAGCCGCCGTCCACGTGCCCCGCCGACGGCGGGGGAGGCGGGATCGTCGTCCAGAAGCCCGTCATCCTGCCGCCCAATGCCGAGCTGCAGAAGGGCAAGATCTACTTCCTCATGCCGGTGATGGCCCCACCGGAGAAGGAGAAGGAGAAGGAGAAGGCGAAGGCGGCCCAAGCGCAGGCGCCCGCGGCGGCGAGGAGGCGGCGGAGGAGGAAAGAAACCGCTGATGAGGCCGCCGGCGGCCGAGCTGCCAGCAACGCAGCGGCCGCGCCGCCCACCCGCGTCGGCTCGGAGGGCGAGAAGGAGCGGCTGCTGGCCAACGAGAGGTACCTGTCGGAGATCATGAAGGAGAAGGCGTCGACGGCGAGAGACCGGCGGCGCGGGCGCGTCGCCGTGTGGCGACCTCACCTGGAGAGCATCACCGAGGATGACTTGTAATCAAACGAGGTGTTCGTTTTTTTTTCTTCTTCTTCTCTATTTTTTCCCATTGGGTTCTTGTTTTTTTACTTAGTTTCTTTTGCCAATTCCTTCTGTTTGCCCTCCGGGTTTTTATTTTTTATTTTTACTTTTGCCATTCTTTCCCCGGCCCGTCTCCTTTATTAGAGCATCATCCTCTTCCCTGCTCCTTTACAGGGTGAAATGATGTCTTTGTGAAGAAAAAGATACAATTTTTGCTATGCCCCTCTATCTTTACAGCACCTATGATCCAGTTATGGGCTCAACTAGTTACTAGTTGCTACAGCAGTTTGCATTGTTCTGTACATACATATTAAAATTGTGTAAACAATATTTCTCTAGCATCCTTCTAGCAAAGGTGCAATTATATATTTTTTTTCTGAAAGGTATGAGGTGCAAATCACACCAGCAATAGATGGATCTTGATCTTCCCCTCAATTTTCTGCTACTATGCTGCTAGCCTGCTACACATTCCACGCTCACACCAGCAAGCTACTCCTAGCTAGGAGCCCCCATCTATTTGCCCTTTCACTATTTTTCTTCTCCAAAAGCGCTATACCACTAAACCAACTGTCACTTTGATATTGGTGCGAACTTGTAAATTCCTCTGGAAATTTTAGTATTCCGTGCTGCGCCCTAAATTCCATATTTCGCTCTCTCTTTTGTCCTGCAAGATGGCAGAGTGTGAGAAGGAAAGAACGAAAGAAAGAGCAGGCCCCTCGGTGCATATTGTTCTGATCATCATGAGTATGCGAAAGTTCTGAACGCTTAAGCAATCAATGAGTAGGCCAATGATTGCCAGTGAGGCCCCGGGCCACGGCCATGGCCATCCCTCCCTCCACTAGCAGCTGCAGCTTTAAGCCATATGACACATACTGATCACCCAACAACCGTTGCAACTACTGAAGCTAAAGAAGCAGAGCTGCAGGATATAAGGATAAACCCTCCCTCGGCTTTCCCTCTGTTGGAGGCTGGAGCTAGCTGATTATGCCTCTAAATTGATGCGTTAGGAGCTCCGCTAGCTTTTGCTTTAAGATCTCCGTGTAGGTTATGGTTTGTTTGTTGCTGGTTAATTTAGTATACTGGTAGCTAGTACAGAGGACTATATTACTCTTTCTTTTCTGTTGTTTTCGCTAAAAAAAAGTTGCAAACTAAAGCTTCCTCTTTGTAAGCATTATGGATTTGACATAAAGATGGGTACGTACAATTTGTTCCTTCTCATTCTTTATTTTCTTTCTTTCATTCAATCAAGAGGGAGGAAGACCACTCGCAGCTGCTGCCTTATCTAAGGATGTCTCATTTGTTATTCCTCCCACAAATCAGTGGAGTACACGTGAACAGTAGTGGAACAGATGTTTGTTAGTTACTACGGCTGGGAGCTTTGGCAACACTGTAATCTACAAAGAATACGGTTGATCTTCTCCATAAATTTGTTCATCATGGAATTGTTTTTTCTTTTAAAGAGGATGGTCATGGATTAGTTAGAAGGTCGGAGTATATATGTATGTGTATGGTGCTGATGAATCATCACTGGACACTAGCAGTATAGTATTAGAGTATGGATACCACATGCAAAGATATACTTAATCTATACTGCTCCACTGATCTTGCCTGGGGCTCAAATGGAGTTTTGTTTTTGTTGGGGATGTCCACTACATGATTATCTTTCAACCATCTCCACGCACTCCGTTTGTTTAATCGTTCTTCCCCATGAGAATGCTGCTCGAGATTTTACTAGTTGATTCTTAAGCTAACTTGCTTCCCTAATGGGGCGCATAATTAGTAGTTTAGCCCCTCCAAAAATTCAGCCGTACCACGCCGTCAACTGGGGAGCGCCGCTAGCCCCCATGTACTCCAATAACCAAATTCTCAGAAATCCTGCATAATCATTGGCCTGGAATTCTCTGAATGATTGTACAGTTAATAAACTCTTGGCACATTCTTCAGCAGCCACAAGGCAACGGAGTACGTACCTAGCTTTAAATTGCTGTAACAGCAAGGGAGGTCCATTTCTTTCTGCCGGTTAAATCCTCGACCAGCTAGCTCTCCCATGATCAGCTCAGGTGTTGAGGTGAACTAGTAGTATTGTATATTGATTTAGTTTATTCTTTCCTAAAACCACTTAGAGCTATCTGTCATGAAAACTGCTAAACCATCTACCCATGATGAGAGGGAAGGCAATTGGCACTTCCATAATGACTTCATTTAGGCTTGTGAAGTTGCAACGTCTAAAATTGTAATGGCAACTGGTGTGGTGCAGCAGAGCTTGATGCAGATATAAGAGAACTTTAAGCATATGCCAATGTTTAAATATAAAATAGAGCTGATTGAGTGCATGTGTTCATGTGTCGCCGAGCTCTTTTGGAGTAGGAATTCATAGCTGTTTTTATCTCAACAGTACGTAGGCCATCAGTAGCACCACACCCGTCTCTCGTGGCAACGACATGTACCGGAACGTGAAGGTGTCGACCTAATTAGTTGGCTTCCAAGTGATGGACCCCTGATCAGGCTAACTAATCAAATGAACTTTAATTAGGGCGCTTGCCAACTTAAAAGCTTGTGCTTATGCATGTGTGGGCAAGTGATTCGTACATGGTTGTGTAGTTTTCTTGCTTTTGTTTTTTGGAGGGATACAAACATGTTGTGTAGTTGTGCACTTGTGCGTGTAATTTTGAGATAGATAAGAGCGGAAGAGTGTTGGTTCGTGTGGGCCTTGGGTGAAGGACCCAGAGAAAGTATATATTGTTGATCTAGGCTTTGAGTGGACCAAATGCATCTTTATATATGTGCTATATGTATATGCAAAGCCAATGGCATGGACCACAAGCACCATGATGGCCATTCTTCCATTAAGCACAAGCTCACACAAGTCACTGCTCCTCCTCTCTCACGGCCACCTTTTGATGTCAATTCTCAAATTGGCGCTCATGTGCCTGGATGGCCTTTTGGCAAAAAGCTGGAGGGGCTCAACTGCTTCCAGGTAAAAGTGGCCACCAAATCAATCTCAAATAGCTAGCAGCTAGCTAGCAACTGGATGAGATGAGCCATTGAGCCTTATACCTGCTAGCTTAGCTTGAGCGATATGACATGACATGACACTGCCGCTAATTAGCGTACGTGATCCTCGTTTCTACTACATTGTTTGTTTTTGTCCTCTGTGCAAGTTCGTCTTCTATTTTAAGTATTTATCATGCTTGGTTTCTACGTGAGTTCTTCGATCCACTGGCACACGCCTGAAGTTATGGGAAGTGCTTTTGTAAAGCCCAGTTTAATTTCCGGGCGCACATGCTATGGAACCTAGAACCAAACTACTTGCTACAAAGTCTGATCATTCTTTCCATGTGGTGTCTCTGAACCGAATCGAGTCGAGTCAAATTTCAAGCTGAATTATTCTGTGCGATATCAAAGACAGTTTTGGTCTTTGACGACATCAAAGCTGAGTTCCGAGTTCAGAGAAGTCTCGGACGAAAGAGCCAAAGAGGCCACTCTATGCAGCACTGATTCAGAATGAGAACTAGAAACCATTGAGCATTTTCTTATGTCTCAACTTTTTTAACAAACTTGCAAAAGCTTTACACACGTCAGTATATTAAGAGGAAAAATATCACATCTCTGCAACCCGTCTAGATTGTCGCCGAGGGATACATGGGGAACGAAGCCGAAAAAATCTATTACATACAACATGAACTCCTAGAGAACGGGAAAAGCTAGTAGCAAAAAGGACAAGACGGCCGGTAAACAGGACTTCTAATGGGCTACCATTCGCTTCCATCCACTGCCGCCCACCCAATCGATCGATCACTTGTAGCACTTGAGAGAGAACGTCGTCGAAGATACGAGCGCTTCTCTCTAACCAAAGATACCAAGAGACGAGGACGACGAGAGTACCAAAACCTCGTTTGCGCTGCTTTTGTTATGTATCAACTTGTTATGTTACGTGCAAGTCGATCCAATCATCCGCTTCTTGTAGGGACTAATGGACTATGTTGGTGTGAGAAGCAACAGTACGTCTTGCTCTTGCATCTCTCTGCAAGCATCACCGTCGGCTTCGCCAAAGTCGTTTTGGTCAGTTATGTGTGGCTTAGTATGCATCCACTATAGCATTGCAGGCGAAAATGGCTATCTTTGTAATAGTTTTGATTGGGCCAGCTGGACGGAAACGCGCTTATATCATCATCGCATCCCAATTCCATTACCCGTTGGATCTGTTATTTTCAGCTAACTGTGTACCTCGTGGTTTGGTGCCCTCTTGACTGAACAGATCTTCGTCGCCAATAATCCAGACTTATAATATCTACCAGAGGAACTCCATCGATCTTTGCTGTTATACGATATCAATATGCCCATGTCGGCATAACACTTAAAGAAAAAAAATCAGAGTAGAAAACTAAAAATGACTAAAAAAATCTTCTTTCTGAGACAAAACAAGAAGATCAAATGAGGCCTGCATTTATTATGCAAAAAATATCACTAGTCCAGTACCTTTCTAGCCCAAGTCTGCACTCTGCAACGCTTAGCCAGGCCGACCCAACATGGAACCGGACTACTGGAGCAGAGATCCCCTTTCGAGGATGGGAGTAGGGATTCGAGTAAGAAGGAACATGTTCACTTTAGGTCCCTCGAATTGTCGCCAAGTCTGAAATTCATCCCTAAACCGAAATATTAGGTATAGGCCATCTCTAAACTCATAATATCGCAATATGGTGGTAACTTTTGGTTGACAAGGTGAGTGGGACCTATATGGGCCCCACGTGGTGAGTTGGCCACTGACATGTGGGGCCCACAGGGGTCCCACTCACCATGTCCGTCAAAACCGACTACTCTGCTACCGAAGGATCAAAGTTGACATGTGTCGATGAGTGATACTCGTAAATCGAATGATTAGGGTATTGGGGTACATTAGAACAAGGATCTACGTAGTACGACATTAAGCAAACAGAAAGACAAGGATTATACTGGTTCAGGCCCCTTATCATGTAATAGCCCTAGTCCAGTTTATATGGGATTGATGATAAAAAAACCACATAGTACTGTTGATGAAAAACACGAGGCCTGGGAGATCTGCTTAACTCCAGTGCAGGTCCAAAGCTCGCCTTCGGGTATGCTAGCGTGCCAGTTGATTTGATCCTGCAATCAACAAGAAACAAAGACAAGACAACCGCGGTTAAATCCATAAATGATAGCCGATCGGCTATGTGCCGATGACATATCATTTATCTTTGAGCCGATGTCATATGTGAATCGATCGGCGGTTATAAATAGATAATAAAGAACTAAATCTATTCGATCGGCTGTAGATGTTAACAGAATATAAATCTTATATCGACATATACTTAAATCAAGTGATTGGGATAGATCGATCGCCATGCCGAGACAATATAAATC